ATAGTTTTCTTTCTTCTTTTAGGTGTAGTGCTTATTAGGGGGTTTGGAATGCAATTGCTTCGTTGTGAACTTATTTTTCTCTTTGACGCTTATTTTAAGTTGGAATTTTTGCTCAACTGAGGATCTTAGTCTACAATAATTGTGTTCAGGTGTTGTATCTTCAAGGAAAAGAAAGGGATGCTGAGGTCCTTATTAAGGACTCTATAAGAATGCTGGAGGTATGTAGAACATCTTTATCTAACTTAAATTTTCCCCCACATTGGTAGTTGGTAATTGTTATTATTATTGTCAGTTGTGCTTAATCTAATTTGTTTATGAATGTAGGAAGGTGGTGAAGGGGAGTCATCTGTATGCATTAGAAGACTACGTTACCTCTCACAGGTGGCCTTTAAAGCCTTTTTCCTCGCAAATAATCTTTGATAAAAAATAATATCCCTTCCAAAAAAGCATATATGTGAACAATTACATATTATTTTTTGGGTGTCAATCAATTAAAAATCACCTATATGACTTTTAAGGTAATTATTACAGAAGTCAACAATCCTATCATACATAACAATATGAAAAACCTTTACACTGTATATTTATATATGTTGGCAAAGATGAAATTTTATTTTTATCTTGAATATTTTCCAATTGCCTTGGAGGTTGAACCACACAATGCAGTGATGTAAATATAAACTTGAACTATCTCGTGGGAATCAATTTAAGGCCAGTTATAATAGTTATTGGCAAAAGGTTGGATGAATAATTTATTATCGGAATTTATAATAATAGTAATAGCTGTCATTAGCAGTTTTGTATTGTTAGAATATGTTCAGCTGCAAATCTTGTGCTGACAGTTAAGGGCAGAAAGTTAGGAGCTGTTTGCATTTTTTTTTGAAGCTGTTGCATATCTTAAAATGTGTAATTGTGTAAATAGAATGATACATCACGTTTTTGTCTTTAAAGACTGAGAACTAATCTATTTAGGAGTCTGCGACTTGGGGACTCCCGGGAGACAGCAGATACTGTTATGTTTTAAGCATTTTATCTGTTTTAGTGATTCTGTTCAGTTAGTGTTCTATTACTGTCTATAAGTAGAGAAAGGAGGCCTAAAACCTATTTCACACAATCCAAGTTCATTTGAAGGGTAAAATATTGACTACATATGTGTTCTCAGATACAACTAAATAATAGATAAAAACTATTCTTGTTTCTTCACCAAACGACCTTTAAATTTGAGAAGAGCTGGTTCTTGGCTCGCTATAGGGTATTTTTACCAATTTGTAAGGAGTTTGGTATTCTTCGCATTCTTCGAAATATAATTATAAATTCCAGCATATAAAGCCAAAATGAGTCTGTGCATTGTTCAGCCCTCAAAGTGGATCTGTTTCTGTTTATTAATTCCCATATTATCTTTCTTAATTATATCTACTTATTGCTATATTCTTTTAGATATATATGAAGTCACATCAAGTTGCTGAAGCTGAGATGGTTCAGAGAAAGATCCTGCATGTTATGGAATTGTCAAAGGTTATTTTGTGAACTTCTTTTGTTTGCTCTGTATCAACTTTCCTGTTAATGATAATGCATGTATGTTTAAAAAATATGTAAGTACTGAGTAAGGGGATAATTTTATTTTAGGAAATGGTTAAGTGAAAAACTTCTGGTTGATGAAATGAAATAATCCTCACTACCATACAAGTTGAGTTTTTTCATCTGAGTGAATTGGTGGTTGCGTCTTATTTGGTACTTTCTCTGCCACTTACAAGGATGGCCTTGACCAGTTGGTTTCTTGTCTTATTTTCACTGTATTGAGCAGGCCCATAGACAGGGTGGTTGCGCGCTATTATTTTCTGATCATAATTTCAGTTGTGATAGAATGCTATTTCTAATCTTGCTGAATAATAGTCAAAGATTCAAGTTATTCTATTTAGATTGACATCTTATTATTAGCATACTTAATTTATTTGATCAAATAACAGTGGTTGTTAATACATAAATAGACTCCACTGAATAAAACTATTATTATTACTTAACAATTGTGGAAATAAAGTAGCATAAGTGGCACTGATGTCAGATTGATATTTTATGATGTTCCTTGGTAGGCATTTGTAATCTTTTTTCCATTTGCTACTTTCTGTTTTCATTTATAATTATTTGTGGATCTTACTCAATGAAATTAAAGAATGTCGCATGAATTGTTGTCACAAAAATATGTCGTCATTGTCAAAATCATGATGCATTTGGTGTAATATAGGGATGGAATTCCTTGGCTACAGTTATTGCAGCTGAATCTCTGGCTTTGACCCTGCTAGCATCTGGCAATACAAAAGATTCAAAAGATCTTCTTGAAAGGTTGTAACCCTTAGATCTGGGAAAATATCTTCTTGAAAGGATGTAATACTTAAATCTGGGAAATTAATTTTGATTTTATACAAATGAAATCCTCAATTTTTATCCTTTCAGATGTCTTAATGCCAGGAAGAACATGCTTCCCAGTGATCATATTCAGGTATGTTTTTCTTTGACAAGAATTCTGGCAGTTCCAATTATGTTTACATTTCAATTCCCTAAAATTGATTGCAAAGCTGGTGTTTCCCTAAGATCATGACGTTTTCTTTCTTTATCCATGGTCAGATTGGTGCAAACCTACTTCATCTAGCACGAGTGGCAATGCTTGACTGCGGTCAACATAAAATGTTGGATGTTTCTAAAGCTGAAGCTGAGCTTGACATGGCAAAGAATCATTTGCATAATTCCATAATGTTGGTATTAGTTTGACACGCCTATGTCTTTCACAACTACTTTTGAATATCGAAACTCGAGAAATTAATCATATGTTTTGTTTCTTTTTCTAGTGATAATTGTTCTTTCTTTTTACAGTGCAGTTTTTGTTTTTTTTTTTGTGTCCTTGCCTTCTGGACAGAGGGATTTAATATTCATACAAATGTTCAATCTTATCATGTATAACATTTAGACTGGGTTGATTCACTTAAGGAATATTTAATTAGTTCTGAAATAGATTTATTTTATTTATTATTTTTTTACATAGTTTAATTTATCAAATGCAAAGGAGCTTTCATCTGATAGAACATTATATTGTGCTGTAACTTGATGCACCTTATTGAATTATATTTGCAGAAGAAAACTTATGCGTTTTAATTTCCTCCCAATATTATTGGATTACACCAGTAATTTCTTGATGAAGAATTAGACTGGTCTTATATAATTTTTAATTGTAAACATCAATATAATTTCAAGTATCATATTTTGAAGGATAATGTTCGGTTTAAGGTGAAGCCATTTGCTTGGTTTGCCCAGCAATTACTAGTCTTCTCCTGAAATTTCAATAATGAAGAACATTTATGATAGGCCATTTCTTGTTTCATCTCAGGATTGCACGTGAATGTTTACGGAAGGTATCAAAACAAAAGGACAAGTTAAAGAGATACAGTGAGCCCGGGGATTCTAGAAAGGAAGGCCAAGCAGCACTGGCCATATTGGTTAGTTTTATGAGATTATTTTTGTGATTTGCCCCCTTGGTGCTTAAGAATGATTTGTTTATTAAAATTTAAATGTAATTTTTTCAGTTGCAATCACTCAATACATTGTCATCAGTAGAGCTAGAAAAGCAAGAATTGCAGAAGATTCAGGTTAGGTTACAAGCTTTGATGGCATTACAACTAGGTTCTTCTTCCAAAGAAATGAGAAAATTGCAAATATAATATTTCTACTTGGTTAAGTGTTGATGATGTTTTGCTAAGCAGGAAGGGAATATTAACCTCGAGGCTCAGGAGGCACTTCTTCAATGCATTTCTGCTTACAAAGAGGTAAACGTTTTTGTGTGATATTTTTGGGGGATGTGTATGCACTAATTTTTCTAGTTAATTGATCGTCATATATAATTAATTTATTATTTTTGGAATATTACTGAGTAGTATAACGTTATTTCAGGTAAAAAAAATTACTTTTTTCCTTTCTGAGGAGAGCATTTATATAAGATTTTGTTGTTTGATGGTTTCATTTCTGCTAAAAAAATTAAAATTTGTCATTGGCTCGTCAGATTACTAAATTCAGTTCGTCAGAGTGCACACATAAATGGGTAGTTTGGAGAATTATTATTGGACATTGTGCTTGACAGTGGCTTCTACAATGATCCAAGATATTAGGAGTCATGGGTGGTCCATAGATCAAAGTCCCTAATATTTTGACTGTCCTGGGGCTGGGCTGTGGCTTGGGCTGGGCTGGGGTTGCGGTTGGGCTGGGCTGTGGTTGTGGCTGGGCCTGGGGCTGGGCTGGAGCTGTGGCTGGGCCTGGGGCTGAGAGTTTTTTTTTTACATCTTTACTTTAAGGAGACAAAATTTTCATCTCCTTACATGCATTTGCGAACATACAAAGTATGTTTCATTAGCAAATCATTACATGAAGGGTGTGAATATCTTCCATGGATTTCTTTCATATGGGTTTTTGATATCTGTTCCGACTTCATTCTTGCTTTGCAGTTTGTATCTGAGAGGTCAATTGCTGATACCCCTGAAATAAAGAACGAGTATCTTTCATGTTTAAAGCGCGCACAAAATTTGCTCGGACATAAAATTCATTAGAAGTCAAGCAATGAAACACCATGACAGGATTTTTTGTTCCCTGTTCCTTTATTTTTTCTTTTTTATGTGTATGTGTTTACTTCAATTCATAGGCATTTTTTTGTTTCATAAAGAAAATAATTAAAAAAGGGAACAATGTTACTGAGCATAGAAATATTGTTGTTAATTACACTACCTTTATATCTAACTGTTCTATGCTCAGTTGTATTTTCTTTGATATCACTTCAATTGTTAACAGACCCGCTTGTATATTCTTGTTCTCTACTTCATGACACTTAACGATAGAAAATCTAGCAAGTTTAGTAATCATACTATGAAAGAACGTATCAAACTAAGTATCCACTTGGTTTAAGTACAAATCATTTGAAAATTTTGAAGTTGCAACACATTCTTACAATGAGATTATATAAATAAAAAATTTAAACTAACAGACAGTAAGATTGAGAAGGATACAGTTTACAATTCCAAAAGAAAGATCATGATGGGAACATAAAGGAAGTGCTTATTGTGAACTTTTAGTAGGGCATATGCACACCACACATCTAGGAGTGGTTGGCTTCTGATTGAACCTAAAAGCCTCGAAAAAGGGTTGAAGAATAAAACTGTCTTGGTGTAGACAAGTCAGAAAAATACATTGCTATAGGCCAAACCAGTTTCTTACAGGACCCAAACGACCACATATCTTTAAACTTCTAGTAGGTCCGAATATCCATATTTCATTAAATGATGTTATTAAAATTCTGACATCATTGTGATTTGTGAACACTTCAAAAAAAGTTACACACACCATTCCTGACACGTGAATTTCTCAACCACAACACATTGCATTGCATGGCGGAACATAAATTTTCCAAACACATTCACATTTTTTCAAAAAGTGGTCTCATGTGATCATGTCCTTCAAGCTCTTCTCTCTGAACTCTCTGGTTGAGAGAAAGAAGCCTGAAGAAACCAAAGATGAATTGGCCATTGTGAAAGCTGCTGCATGGGCATGGTACCTACATGGTTCAGGGTCTAAAGCAAAGGCCAAAAATGAGTTTGATGTCAAAAGATCTCAAACTGTAGCAAGGCCTTCACGTTACAAGTTAGAAGCTATGGGAATGGCTAAGGAAACACCATCAATGCACACCATCAAGCCTCTTCTTGACTCATATGAAGTTCAACGCATTTCAAAGCAATTGGATGGGCTTATTAAAGAATCTGACCACAACAACATTGGCAATGGCCGCAGCAAAACCGGTAACGGTGATCGTAAGGATAATGGTAACAGAAGGATGAAGAATAAGCAGAGGGTCACTTCTTTGTCAGTCAAATGTGTACCTGCGGTTAATCTATCAATGTGTCTGCCAAAGCCCAATCATGCTTTATGATCATTATCTCTTTTCCATCACTAGGTTAGTTTCGTGATTTATATCTATCTAAATTGCATGTAATCCATCTTTCTACAGAATAAATTTCTTGACTAACATAAGAAATTTAAACTAAGCATACTTATGCTGTTTGTAGCCAAGTTTCTTAAAATAAAGTCTCGTGTTTGAGTATTATGATAAAAAAACATAAAAGATAGATTATGTTTAAAATTTAGTACAATAACACATGAGCATCACGTTTATATATTGAGGATTTGATTTATATTTGATCTGCATGTTCTTAATATTGTTATGAAAAAAAATTCTAAACAAACGCATCAGAAATTTAAGGTAAACATAAATATATATGTTCACTTTCTGGACTCATTCTCCTTAAACAAAGTTCGTTACGTGTTTCGAGTATTGTGTATGAAAAAAAAAACTTAGTTGAAAAGAAAGATTCTACTAAAAAATATCAGTTAGGTTTTCCTGACAACGATTATAAATTATTGAAGGTCAGTGATCAACCAGGATTTCTAATGAAAATTAGTCATTTTTAAAATTGGTGATACTTACTATAAAACATGAGTATTACTTTATATTTTAAGATTTGGTATATATTTCAAGTGCATGTACTCAATGTTGCTATAAAATAAATTTGTTAACGGATACAGTGAGAAATTTGAACTAAGCATACCTCTGTTGATATTGATATGTTATTTTTATTGAACTTAGTCTCCCTAAACAAAGTCTCGTGTTTAAGTATTGTGTACAAAAAGGATACAATAGCAAAGAAAGATCCTACTAAAAATAGTCAATTTGATTTTTCTTACACAAATTAGTTTTTATTATTAAATTTAGTGGTTTTCTAATAAAAATTAACCATTAAAGTTAGTGATACTAAGTACAATAACCATAATCCAAACAATATATATATATTTCAAGAATTAGCTTATGTTAATGGTTATGTATGTTTCTGTGGAACTTTTGGAAAATGAAAATGTCCATAGAAGAAAAAGTAAATTGAAGAGATTTAATTTATAGGATGATTGATGACAATCACATGAGTCGGTGTAATTAAAGAAGTGTAGGTGAATGGTAGCTTGTGAAGAGATCTTTTAGGACTCAGTCATGTGATTCCTGGGACTCCTAACGTTACTTACAATGTAGGAAATATATAACACATGTATTTCATAATCTGTACCTCAGTTTTAGAAATTGAAGGTCATGTGTTTCTTTCTCTTCAAAGTAATAATTTGTATTTCATCACTCGGCACATATGTGAAGGTTACTCATTTTGGTAACAGTATGGTAGTTTAAATTAATCAAGTTTGGTTTTATTGACCACTTATATTTTGACAAATGATTTCTATCAAAAAAATTTGAAAAAATTCTATATTAAATAAAGATGAAAAAAATACAAATGAAGATTCATAAACTCATTTTTGAAAGTTTTGAATGAGAGATAGTGATAATTCTTTATGTGTATATTGAACTTATATCTTATCTATCTCTTTCTAATTATCTTTTTGAAAGATCTATAATTGATATTAATACAAATAGAGATCCTCGTAGTTTAAAATGCTTTCGTCCAAAAGAAAAATAAAGAAAAAGTTGAATACCATAAGACTCGTTTTAAAGTTTTGAATTGTAAATAGTATTAATGCTTTATATATAAGTTGAACTTATATTTAATTGGTATTTTTCAAAAGACTCATCATTAATATTAATGACATAAGATTAAATTTACACTAATAAACAAAAGAGTTTAAAGTAGTAACTTTAAGGATTAACCAAATCTTGATAGAAAATATTGAATTTTAATTCGATTATGGTTCGTTATAAGCATGTGATATATAGGTAACACATGAAAACAGAGAGATGGAAAGAGATTCTATAATGTGTAGAGAAATTAGAGATGGGGGAGACAATTTGGTTGTTGCTTTGAGGAATTTGGTTGTTGCCTCTAAATTTAATTGAGATTCTACAATGTGATATACTGCATAATACCCAACTTTGAAATTGTGTAATTTTTTTCCATGTTAAAATGAAGGAAACGGAATAATATGATAACAAATTTAAAGTCATAATAGAAAGGTTTGAGACTCTAACCAAATTTTCCAGGTTAGGGTGGCTTTGGCTTATAAAACTGAAGTAATGGTAATTAAGTATCAATACTGTCCAAACTTTATTTTGTTTTTCTCTTTACAAACAAATGACTTATAGCAAAAGAACGATAGAGATATACCTATTTCGCAATTAAAACAAAATTGAATATAATTAGGATTAAATTATACTTAACAATTTAATTAGCTAGTGTATCGTTGCCTGATCCTACGCTTGTTGGTGAAATTTATATCCTAGTTTTGAATGTTTTACTCCTCTATACTGAAAACAGCCCCTTCTTTGTTGGTAGAATTTGTCTTAATTTTGACATATGAGACACGTTTATCAATTGGTTTAAATCCCTTGGATGGTCCTCGTATTTGTATGGAAATTTCAAGTGAGTCCTCATATTTCTAACTGTCTCAATTGGGTTTATATATTTGCAAAATATCTCAATTGAGTCCAAATATTCGTAAAATTGAGCCAATTTTACCTAAGTTATCACAAACGGCGTTAAAATGTGTTGAGGTGAATATGCTGAGGTGAATATTTTATTTAAAAAAATATATTACCAATGATGACGTGGAATTTAATAAATTAAAAAAAAATAGAAAAATTATGCAATAAGAAAAAAAAGGGGGGATTTGAGGGTGGTGTGTTCTTTGAAGCTGTCTTATAGAAAAACTGATTGTGTTTTGGAGAGTCTGAGTTTCTTCCTTGTTGACCCATTTTCATCTTCTTCGCTGTCACCCTAAAAAAACTTTCTACTATTTCTGCAAAAACTATAGCATTGTCATCCGTGTCATGAGGAAACTGAAGGAAGAACTGGTGTTGAAGGAAGAAGGTGGTGGAGTTGAAGGGGTGGATCTGAGGAAGCTCTTATGTCGTGAGGCAGTGCCGCAAAAAACCCTATTGAAGCTCCGTCAGCTCATGGCGACGGCAGCCGGGGCGGCGTTGATGTTGTTTTATGTGCTGAGTCGGCGGTTGTCACGGAAGGCGGAGGAGGACAACAAGGATCACGGAGGCAACGACGACGTGTCGAAATCGAGCAGATCGGTGCATCGGAGAAGGCTTTTGAGGCGGCTGACGCAGGCTCCGGCGACGCTGCTGGAGTTGATCGGAACGTTGTCAGAGACTTTGAGGTTCACGTATTCCGAGACCTTCGGGAAGTGGCCAATCGGCGATTTGGCCTTCGGAATCAACTACTTCATGCGCAAGCAGGTAAGTTTTATGAGATTCTGGATAAAATTGATAGTTTTAAGTGAAATTAAGTGATTTCTGTTTCTGGGCGTGTAGAAAGGTGCAGGCTTTTGGAGGGATTCTGACTTTGGGAACATGTGTAATGGTTTGCATTTTGCAGGGCAATTTGGCAGTTGCAAGTGTCTATGTTGGGAGTGATTCTGTGCAGCTTAAAGGGGATGGGATAATTGTGGAGTTATACCAAGATATGATCATGGAAATTTTGTCGTGGCTTCCGGTGAAAGATGTCTTGCGATTCAAGTGCGTTTCAAAAGGGTGGAACCAACTTGTCTCCGATTCGGCTTTGCGGCATAGCAGCTTTTCGGGACTAGGGTTTTGCAAAGGAGATGACAGCGAGGATGAAGAAACAATNTCACGTATTCCGAGACCTTCGGGAAGTGGCCAATCGGCGATTTGGCCTTCGGAATCAACTACTTCATGCGCAAGCAGGTAAGTTTTATGAGATTCTGGATAAAATTGATAGTTTTAAGTGAAATTAAGTGATTTCTGTTTCTGGGCGTGTAGAAAGGTGCAGGCTTTTGGAGGGATTCTGACTTTGGGAACATGTGTAATGGTTTGCATTTTGCAGGGCAATTTGGCAGTTGCAAGTGTCTATGTTGGGAGTGATTCTGTGCAGCTTAAAGGGGATGGGATAATTGTGGAGTTATACCAAGATATGATCATGGAAATTTTGTCGTGGCTTCCGGTGAAAGATGTCTTGCGATTCAAGTGCGTTTCAAAAGGGTGGAACCAACTTGTCTCCGATTCGGCTTTGCGGCATAGCAGCTTTTCGGGACTAGGGTTTTGCAAAGGAGATGACAGCGAGGATGAAGAAACAATGGCGATTTGGGGTTGGAAGGGTTTTCCAAATTGGTTCACTGTGGTCTTTTTGAGTGCAGGCCATTTTCCTCCCCTTTTTTTTGTTTGCATAATTTTTCTATTTATTTTAATTTATTAAATTCCAGATCATCACTGGCAGCATATTTTTTTAATAAAATATCCACCTCAGCACATTTTAACGCCGTTTGTGACAACTTAACGGTTAGGACAAAATTGACTCAATTTTACAAATATTTAGACCCAATTGAGATATTTTGCAAATATATAGACCCAATTGAGACAGTTAAAAATATGAGAATCCACTTGAGATTCTCATACAAATACGAGAATCATCCGAGAGTTTAAACCTTTATCAATTTATTTCAATATTCTGAATTCCACCTTCTATTTTTGTAGAGATACATGAAGAATTGATTTTGGTAGCAATAGTCGATTATTTTATATTGTTTGATGTAGGTTACGTAACTCACAAATTCTCTGACTAAATTCTCCTATGGGTCGTGTGAGTCCTTTTCTAGTTATTATTTTGTTTGCATTCTTGCTAAGAAGTGAGTCCTGGAGATGATTTTCATCATCAAAGGATTCCTTTGAATGAAAGGACTTCTCATTCCAATGGAGGCAATTTCAGTGGTCACAGTTCTCTGTCGAGGCCTTCAACGACTAGAAAGGAGTAAGTTAATAGATTATAATTAGCTAAAACTATTGCTGGCAAAATGCATATCAACATGTTTTTCCCCGCTGTAACCCCAAACCTTCTATTTTTTTCATGCTTGAGAACCTTAGATGACCTTGCCGATAAGGTTTACTTGAATTCTACCTTGAAACCAACACCATTTGTTATCAGTTGCACTTAAGTGCAATTTCTTTTCCCAATTCATATTGGTGGGCAATCTATGATACCAAAGCAAGGGCATGACGCCAGTTAACAGCCTTAAATCGTCCATCAGGACCACGAATCATGGGGGT